ATATATATGTGTGTGTGTGTGTGTGTGTGGAGGGTATAATTATGTTATATTTATTATTTAAGTTTTTGAAACATCAGACGTGTTTGATCAAAGAAATGGTGTGTCCTTCTATGTCTGTAGTAAGCCGGAACAGTGATCTATATCGTCAGACAATGTCTGACCAAACATATCTGTTAAGCTCTGTCAAATTTTCTTTGACAAAAACTGTTATATGCCCATATATAGTCATAATATGCCTATATATGTCATAATGTGATGTCATCATGACCATATTTAGGCATGCCACATGTGTTTGTCAGATAAAATTTGATAGTTTGGACAGGGCTTTAGACTCATTACAAAAATCTGAAAGTGTTTTCCCATCATGCATCTCGGAAATTTTTTAATCTGGTGAAGGTCTTTCATATTTTTGATATGCTTAGTTTTGATTTTATATGTGTGTTTATTGTTTGACCTAAATTTTTTTATGGCTAAAACATAATTTGTATATTTGTTCACTGTCAGGGGTGTTGGTGCCATGGAAATTGTTGCTATGGATATGAAGTTGCGTGGCATGTATATTGCTCGTCAACTGAGTTTTCATGGCGTTACATTCAGCGTCAAAGAAGTTTCATTAGCTAAGAGATTTATTGAAGTTTACAACAAGTCTGCAGAATTGGTAAGTTTATTTTTTTATTTTATTATGTATTATAAATTATTTTTTAATTATTTTATTTATTCCACCATGAAAGAAATACAACACAAAACATAAAGTTACTGTACATATCAAAAAGATTGAATAATTACTGTGTATTTCCAATAGTGCTAACAAGGACATGGAATAATTATAAAATAGACTCTGCAACACATAAAATATTGCTTTAAACAACATTTAAATACATTAAACCACAGAAAATTTTGTACTTATTTTATACTCATTATGCTTTTTATACTGTACTCTTAAAATGACAATATTGTTGTACCAATTAACTTATAATTTATTGAATATTATTTAATTTCAGTGGATGAAAAGTAGGGAATATTTCCAAAAAGCAGCGGACCTAATTGGTGCTGAGCACCGAATGCGCAAGTCCATGTGGGGTCAGTTTTGGTCAGCTCATCAGAGGTTTTTCAAGTATATGTGCATTGCTTCTAAGGTTCCACACGCAGTCAGGATTGCCAGGGAATCGGTCAAAAATGGAAAGGTGTGTGGACTCGGCTAAAATCGGCCTTTGCCGTCATAATAATAATGATACGAAAACTTGTTTAGCGAACAATCCACCTCAAATAAACAGTACGCTCACAGTGTTAATTTTACAATAATATTTCAAAAGACTGCTTTGAAAGCAATTTGCTGAAAAACACAAGTTTAGGAAAACGTCCTGAATTAAGTGATTCTACATCTTTTTACATTTTATAGATATTGTAACTGATATGATAATAAAGTGATATGATTTAAGTGCATTGACTCTGTTGATGATATGCTCTATATTAGAGTCAGTATCAGTAGGGCAAATTATTTATTTACTTTTATCATCATAGTTTCCATAGAATCTATGAATTTCTTGAATTCATCTTTTTATCCAAAAATGAAAAAGTAAATATCGTGAGGATGTGTACTTAGAACGAATGTCTTCGTTTCTTTCCCAAGCACGCTGCCTATATTTCAAAACAATTACATCATTATTGTACTAAAAAATAGGCTGTTCAACAGTGAAAATATTGAACATTCAAAATAGGAAAATAACGTTGGTGGTGAATTTGCTGGTGTCTAGATTGACTCGTAATACATGTTAATGCATTGTTATTGTCTATTATACAGTGTGTTGTAATAGGCCTTCAGTCAACAGGTGAAGCAAGGACATTAGATGCACTGGAAGAAGCTGGTGGGGAACTCAATGACTTTGTATCTACAGCTAAGTAAGTGCTTCATATCGCTTATAATTGTTAAGTAAATATTTCATTTATAGACAGTTGTATTATATGTTTTGTATCTTATTAGATGGGTTGATAAATAATTATGATTACTTGCTTTCTATGTAAATACTTACAGTTGATTTCTTGCTAAGTGAATCATTATTTTGTTAAAATTTCTGAGTACAAACTGACTTCTTACTAAAGTAAATAATTGTTTATTTGTAAAATGCTTCATTTGTGCTCCAAATAAGTGTATACTTGACTTATATAAAATAAGATAAGATAAACCTTATTGTCCGAAGGTAACAGTACATTTGATTACTTAATATACTGAGATTATGATGGTAGTAATAATAATTGGATGATCCAATGTTGAAATTGCATTTAGTCCAGACTCAATCAACATGAGCCTATAGACCATTTTTTCAGGTATATTTTGAAACAGCACCATCAACGTCTGATGACTCGCATGTAATAACAATATTTATGTAACAGCAAGTACCAGTGCTTAAATAGCCTGCTTTCACAAAAAGGAGAGATGAACAAATTGAAGGAAGCTGGTAAATGGAAATAAATAGGTGAACATTGGCAACTAGGGAAAGGATTTTCCCCAGTGGTATCTGCCAAAGTTCTTGAAATAAATAATGTTTTTAAGAAAACATATTCTCACCATTGGTATATGTAATCCATATATTTTATGAATGTTAATTTCAGAGGCGTATTTAGTACATTAGTTGAAAAACATTTTCCAGCACCAAATAGAAGGAAAACGTTAGGTGGCTTATTTGGCTGGGATTTCAACGATAGTCGGAGCAACACACCAGATAGTTACACGGAAGAAACAAATAGTCGCAAGCGAAAACGTGCCACAAAACAAAAATCAAATAAACGAGGAAAGAGGTTTTTTGATGATGATAGTGACATTGATAGTAACTTTGATCCAAGTGATGATGATAACAATGCTAAGTTAAGTGATTCTGATTCTGATTTGGGCAACTCAAACTCGGAGCCATCATCAAATGATGAGGACGACTTCAATCCATTCCAAAATTGTTCTTTTTCGGATGATGGTAAGAAATGTTTATTTTGTTTGAACTGTTTGTTTTGATATTCGTAAGACCTGGCAAATATAGTACTGCATAATAAGCCATAAAAACTCTTCCTGTGAACCCCACCAACCTACCTTAATGCCTTTGTTCCCACTAACTAATCTCAAGGAAAGATGGATGGATTTATGCTGTGTAAACACCAAGAATAACCCACAAAAGTCTGAAGAAGACTTATTTCCAGTGGGTCCTTCTGACAGTACACATGGGGACAATCCCCTACTCTTTTCCGAATAGTGTACTGCGTTATTTAATGTGCACAGGGGCCATAATGCAAACCATCAGCTTAAACGTCCCATCCAAAAGACGGTGCACTGTAATGTAATGTATTTTGATATTATTTTAGATCCTTGGTTAAACCGCAGTGAACGAAAGAAAAAGAACAAGAACTCAAATAAAGAAAAAAAAGATGTAAGTAATGTTCTTGTTGCTGCTGGATTAATTCAGAAGAAAACACCAACAGTATCCTCAACAACACCGATGACAGCTAAAAAACTGGCTACTTCTACAGCCTGTACTCCTGTAGGTAAGTGACATGTGGGTTGTGGTAAGCATGGTCAGTGCGTTGTTAAATGGGGTGTGGTGTGTGTTTATACAACCAGTCTATCACATCTCTTTCAATATTTGTTGAAAGTGACTCGCGTTAAATATTTCAAACTTTTATGCCTTGGAAAATTTTGAGTGCTTCTTCTCAGATTGGTTGTGATACATTGTGTTGTCCCATTTGTACACAGAGCTGTAAAATGTATATTTATGACTATTACTACAAGAGACAGATGATGTTATATACACTTTTTTGTACAGTTTTGACTAAGCTACGTTGAATACATACAATTCACAATTAGATACAGTTTCTATAATCATCGAGGTATACTTTCCATGCTATAATATAAAAAAAGACAATTTTTTTTACCTTCGTTTCATTTATTTATTCGTCCAAAAACAACAGGAAGTTCCTTGCACAAGAAGTTACCTGCACATTACACATAAACCCATACAATCTTACCTTTTAAGTTTGAAATATTAGGAGAGGATAGCCATGTTGATAGCAGTTTGTTTTTAAAAATCTAGTCTGCCTTTTGATTGGCCTGTTTTGAATTGCATCTTGATTGACCTGTTCTGAATGTACTATGTTTCCGTTAGTGTCTACTATGTCGTCATCATCTTTCTTGCCTGGGATGGATGCAATAGAGAAAGCTCAACTTATGAAACAAGAATTACTAGATGAACTGGAGGAGATGTCAGCAGAATTGCCACCTAACACACTTGATGAGCTTATTGATAGCCTTGGTGGTCCAGACAATGTTGCAGAGGTATGAAAAAAAATTCAATGAGGCTAATAAATTATTCATAACTATTTACCCCCATTCAAACAGGTTAAATCATTTCAATTTACAGTAAAAACCCTTCAATAATTTTGCCTTGTGTATATGTAATTATAAAATATTTTATTTAATTTCCTTAATTGTCAGTACTGAAGAAGGATTAAATTATACTTTATATATACCTATATATACCTATTTTATTTTGAGCATATTATCATGTCTAGATGACTGGATATAAACTTTGCCATGTATATATGTAATTGTTAAAATATTTTGAAAATAGTTTATCTCATTTCTTTAATTATTCTTACTGTAGAATCATTAAATTATACTTGATATATACCTATTTCATTTTAATCTTTCACCATATCTAGTGACTGGATATACACTTTTCCTTGTGTATATAATTCTTAAAATATTATTTATAAGATTTTTTATTTCATTTTCGTAATTTATATTACTGTAGACTGATTAATATACTTTATGTGTACCTATTTCATTTTAATCCTATAACATTGTCCAGATGACTGGACGAAAGGGTCGTGTGGTCAGCAAAGAAGATGGTAATGTCCAGTATGAAGCAAGGAGTGAAGTGGACATACCATTGGAAATTCTAAACTTGACGGAGAAGAAAAGATTTATGGATGGAAAAAAGGTAATTTATATAATATCTTTAGTTTTGTAATGTACCCGCAAACATCCATTTAAATCATTGAACTGATTATTTAAAAGGATTATGTATGTGATCAAGAATGAGGTAAACAGATGTGTTTTATATCAAATTTGAATCAAATTTTGTTCCCCTGTCAATCAAGCCTGACAGTTGTCACTCAGTATTGATGCTGTTTTATGTTGATCTGTATGAGTACTTCTCAACGCCCCTAACAGGAGCAATGCGCGGAGGGAGCGCAGGTAGCTTCTGGATTTTAAATTCCTCAGGTGATTAGTTAGTGTTGCAAGTTCCTTAGAGATTCGATTCCATTCATTTATAGTTCATAGTATAAAGAGAATCTGTAACACTCTTTTTGAGCGGACACCCCAGAATATGTAGGGTGTGTGGAGAAGTATGAGACAGGACGCAAGTGCATTCGTAGTGGATGGCAAGGCGATCATGTAAAGCCTGCTGAAAAACGGTCATTCTGTTATTTGTTCTTCTTAATTGCAAGGGATCCCAATTTAATTTTTTTTTTCATGGCAGAGACGCTACAGAATCTGCCACAGTCACTCATGACAAATCTTGCACAACTGTTTTGCACAGCTTCTGTAACACTAAAATTTTGAAACATTTTATTCCCTACAAATAGTTTGTTGCTGTGATATCTGAAGCAGCTAGCTCGGGTATCTCGCTACAAGCCGACAGGAGAGTGAAGAACCAGCGACGTAGAGTACACATCACACTGGAACTTCCATGGAGTGCAGACAGGGCCATTCAGCAATTTGGTGAGTGAATTTCAGATTGTTTTCTTTAATGGTTAATAAATTAGACTCAATCCGAAAGACTGCAAAGAAAAAAAAATTAAAGAAGACTTTGTACATTTAGATGATATTTATGACAAATATGCATTAGCTAAACTTAAGAAAATAATAAACACAACAACTCATCCACTACATAGTGATTTTACTCTTAGCAACTCTCGTATCCATCTAAATGTACCACTCACCACACCTAACTCCATTCACCTTCATAATAATAATGTTAATTGTTGTTTAAGCGCAATTTTTGGCCTAACTTAATTATGTTTAATGTGTAATATTGTTTAATGATGTTTAATTTTATGGCTGTATTGTAATGAAAGACGAAGTAAATTTTACTGTTTGCTATATTTAATATTGTTTAGTCTCAGATTTTGTTGATGATAAAGTTATTTCTGAAATATTGTAATTGTAAATGAAGATTAAGATAAAGTTCACACTTAGGTAAACCAATGAGATAAAAAATTAATCAAGAATGCATGATAATCAAGGATTTCTTTGAACAGGTCGAACACATCGGTCAAATCAGGTCACTGCACCAGAGTACTTATTCCTGATCTCAGAACTTGCTGGGGAGCGTCGCTTTGCATCCATTGTTGCTAAGAGACTTGAAAGTCTAGTGAGTAGACAGGAGTATGGGTTATATAATGATCAATACATAATAATATATACATGTAAAAAAGCTATTAACTTATTTATTTTATTTTATTACTGAATTCAATTTTCAGTAACAGTAAGAATTACATAGTATATGTTATGATAATTGCAACACCACAGTGTTTTCCATCAGATCTACGTACTAGAACTAAAACAGTTGTCTGTCCTGTATCTATGTAAAAGTTACAGTATATGTTGTTAATTTAACTTCTTTTCTAGGGTGCTTTAACCCACGGTGATAGAAGGGCTGTTGAGACTAGAGATTTGAGTCAATTTAACATTGATAACAAAGTAAGTGTATTTCTATTTGTTGTATTATTTTAATCACCCCTGTTAAATATTGTGTAAAAAGTAAGTGTGTAAAAACATGTTGGTAGAACAACTAGTGGTTGACTTTGGTTTGAACCCTGATTTTATTTTTCAAATTATTTAACATTGATTTATGTAGTCCACTTTTTAAAAATAAAAAATATGTTGTCTTGTCTTGTAACTGAACCCTACATTTCTTTTCTTTAGTATGGAAGAGCAGCTCTGGAGAGTATCATGAAAAGCATTGTGGGATTGGAGAGGCCCATGGTAACTCCTCCAGGTGGTATCCACAGCTCATTCTTTAAAGGCAAGTATTTTAACACGGCTGCCAGCGACGAGTATACTCGCTCACAGGGTGTTGCTGAGGGCGCCAGGGATGAGTATACTCGTCAAAATCGGAGTAACATTCTAGCGTTTATAACTTCTTTGTTATACATTGTAGAACCGCAGATTTGACAGCTGGTAGTTCTGGGAAGATACACCTAGACGATAACGTACATACGACGTATGTATGTTTGTTGTGTTATGTTGCCGGTAGTACACTCGAGCGGCACAAGTGGGGGACGCCCTTTGAACATATACCAACCCATGCAAAAAGCGGACGAGATAACTCACACTTGGCATAGTCAATAGAACGTTCTATCATAGTGCCGTCGACGAGTATGCTCGCCCCCTGATATTTTCCCGCCAATTTATTAGACACATCATTTTGATGATGTATGACTAGATAAAATTTCAAAAAAGTATGTTTGTACATGTAAACTTGTTTTGGCATACGGGAAGGAACCTTAAAAAAAGGTCTGGCAGTCAACGTGTTAATCTAATATTTTTGTATTAATTAATATCAATGTAATTTTTATTTGTTTTGTTGGATTTGTAATGATCAACAAAAATGTATACGATTCCACTTGTGATTGTTAAAGTTATCAAGTTTCAAGTTAAGTGAATCAAGCAATTGTCAATTGTGGCTGTCTAGCAGGAAGACCGCGTCCTTGATAATAATAATAATAATAATAATAATAGTTGGATTTGTATAGCGCATCATGCGAAAAAGCCTCTATGCGCTTGGTGATTGAGCTCTTTGAGTTTGACATTTTGAAAAAAGTTTTATATGAAACTAAAAAACCTACTCCTTAAACTAAAGCATGGTTGGCCGTTGGCTCCGAGGAGTTCATCCGCCCTTTGTTCAGCTGTTTTTTTTCATGCTGCTGGGTGTCTATCCACCCTCCCATCGGCGGCCGCTAAAGACTACCAGATGGTGTTGCCGGAATTATTCGCCGACGACCCGACTGGATGCATTTTATAACGTCGTACCCAGGACACTATAATCTTATACTACACTTACATATGCTAAAATAAACTAACTGAAATAATTTGTTAAACTATTCCCAGAGTTTCTAAGTGAAGGTTTTGGGTGAGCGGTCAGCAAATCAATCAAGAAAACAGGAATTTCTTGAGCTTTGACTTGAATATATTCAAACTTGTAGCTTCTCTTACAGTATGTCAGTTGGTAATAACTGGTTCCAAAGGATAGGTGCAGCAACACTAAAGGCTCTATTACCATAGGATTTCAGATCTAGTGACCAGTGGTGCAACAACCTACAGATGTGACAAATGTGGCAAAGAATTCCACATTGGACTTAATTGCCCCAGAGGGCTCATCAGCAACGAGATGCTCATTCGTTGTGACCGACAAGAGGTGCCATACTATATAAAAATGTTACTACTTATTCCCTTTTTTAAATTAGATGCTCAGCAAGCTCTTGTTGGAGTTGGAATACTGTCTGTTGATGAACAATTAGTGAACGCTACTCCTGTACTTGACAAAGGTAGATAAATTTTATGCTGAAACGGTCTTATTATTATTGGTATTATCAATATGTTTCAAAATATCATTATTGAGTGATTGGTACACAGCGGTTGTGGTTCATTACTACCATCATCATTCATTATCATCGTTCATTACCATCATCATCAAACTGTATACCGACAGATTATCCATTTGTTTTTTTCGTTGCAGATTACAACAGTATTTCAAAATTCTTGAATCGAATCCTAGGCATCCAGGTGGATCTACAAAACAAGTTGTTCCAGTATTTCATGGATACTCTCAATCATATCATTAATAATGCAAAGAAAGATGGCGTTTGGGACATGGGCATTCTTGGTTAGATTGTTTCTGAGCTTTTTGTTCTTGTTCTATCTCTTTGTTTTTTGTATATTTTTTTGTGGTGGACAGAATTATACACATAAATATTGTGATTTTTTTTTGTATTGCTTATTACCATAACACTAGTGGAAATAATATGTACACAGAAGAAGAAATACAGAACTGTTACTTTGTGTGTGTATTTTGCATACTTAAATTGTGTATGGTGCAGTAGTCCATTAGCTTTACACATGTTTTGTTTTTGAAATTGCGCCTGAATTTTCTTATACAGGTGAGCTCCGAACGTGGGTTACCGTTTGAAACGGTCTCTAAAATGTGGCAAGAATTACGCACCGTTGATGAAGGATTCTTCTTATCTCATCAAGTATGTAGAGCAATTGACCATTGGAACATTAAAATTATATTTTATTACCTATGTTATCAGGATCCCAAGTTTCCCACAACTTGCAGGAGTCTCCCAGAAATCGGGACGGCCTACTGCGTACCCGCGAGCAAGAATCTTCTGGAAAACAACCCATCTCTCACAAATTCATAATATTTGCATATTTTCACTGCTTTATTATCAATTGTCTCATGGAAGTCAATGCCGATGGATATCAGTATGTGCAGCAAAAATAAATTTGATGTCATTTAACCAGATATCCCAGAAGTTGCCCGGATGTGACTTCTTCCATATTGAGAACCCTGTGTTATTGTGTTTTTTCGAAAACCACTGTTATCCGTATCATCATTAGTTTTGTTGGAATAAATGCCGGGGCCAGATTTATCAAACTAGAAATCAGCTTATTTTTTTGCTTAAGTCAGATTTATCAATAATTGCCTTAGCTGAAAAATAGCTTAAAATTTAAAAGTTGACTTTACGCATGCATCATCTAAGACAATTTTAAGCTTAGATTTTGCTAAGATGGTTTGGTAAATCAGCTTAAGATATTTGCTTAGGAGCATCTGAACTTTTTTGACTTTAAACATTTGCTAAGCTGAGCTTGGTAAATCTTGGGCCAGAAGACAGTAATATTTATCATCATAATCATGACCATATGAAGAATATGTGCGCAGTCATTTAAAACTGATAATTGTATTCATGATTTAGATGAGAAATGGTAAGAGGATGGCAATCTTTGTGAAAGCAACCAAAGGCATAAATAAGAATAAGAACTTGTACCAAGTGTTCCGACCAAACACAGGTTTACAAGTGAAGCTAGAGCCACTACAAGACATTAAGAAGAAGTACCAGAAGGTCCTACCAAAGGCAGCTGAAAAGGACTGGACAGTGCAATACAATTGCTCAGCAAATCAATGCAGTCATGCCTACTGGTGAGGGAGATTGTTCTTTTATTTAGAAGGGGTTTATTGTTTTACATTAAACCTGGATTAACCTGCCAAATTACATGATAGAAATACAGTATCACATTATGAGGATTATGTTACAGTTGTGTCTTAATACTTGAACTATTTAAATCCAGGACCCTGAGAGATAACCATTTTTCCTACCAAACTGCACCTTCCATATCCAATCATAGCCCAATTAATAAGATTGTTATCATGCCTGGTGTCCAATCAGTCTTCTAATCAAATCCAAACTTAGGCTTAAAAAGAAGCATAATACAAATGTTAATATGTGCTAAAGATGCTAGATAGCTTGGAAAATAAGAGAACAGAGGAAAAAACCTGTCCTTATTATCTAAATTTGAATTATTGTTTTTTTATTTTGATATCCAGGAGGGGTAATTGTAAGAGGTACATGGTCTACCAGTCGTGTGAAGTGGGGCTAAGGAGGCGCACATATTATGTGCTCAGTGGATCTGTTCTAAGTGTTTGGTCAAAAGTGGAAGAGATTTTAGCAGCTGGACCTGGTCCACAATCCAAGATGCAAATTTTAAGGCTAAAGACAGACGATGGTGCTAAGATTGTTGGTATGTAACTTGTATGAAAAAAATTGTATAAGAATGATATTGAATGGATATGAAGTTCACATAAATGATATAGAAGGAATGAGATGTGGAGTTTATGATAAATGCTATTGAATAGATATAAAGTTGTTTTAGAAATGGCATATTGGCAGGTGTGAAATAAAATATCATAAATTGTGTTTTTAATTTAGTTATGCAAGTTTAAATTTAAAAATGATTTCTCTTTTTTCCCCCAAAGGTTGTCTCATACCCAGGCACTGTGTCCCAACCTTAGTTTCAAAGTTGTCTGAGGGCGCTACAACATATAGTAACAAATTCACCAATGCAGATAGCCAACATCACTGAACTCAAAGGAAATTAATGCCATAAAAATAGCGGAAGCATGTATACTCCTAAAAGAGTTGCCAGAAAAGTGTGCTTACGATGCATATATTAGGCTTGTACCCAGGCTTTTGTTTATAAAAGTTACATGGCCAGGTGCGGTGATGAAGCCATGCTCTTCTGGTAAAGTACTGGTCACCAGGCTAGCTTTAAAGGTATTGAAGGTAGAACCAAGGTGTGCTAATACTTAAAATGTTCAATACATATTGCCTGTGGTGGACTGTGGTGTGAACCTCTAATGCAGGTCAACTTAAAATTTAAATTCCCAAGTATACTCAGAAACTCTGTGTCTCAGGTGTACTAGTACTTACAACCAGACCACCTTAGCAAAATATTGCTAACTACAATTGTACGGGTAGGCTAGGTTTGGTGTCTGAAACCAGGGGTTACCAGTTGTTGCAACCAGGCCAGCCGAAAGAAAATTAAGCCTTAACCAGAGAGGTATGGGTAGGCTAAGTGTGGTGCATGAAACTCTTTTGTAATGGTAATTGCAACGAGGCCACGTTAAAAGAATAATGCTAACCACAAAGGTACAGGTTACAGGCTTGGTTTGGTGTCTGAAATCATGGTGTACTAGTTGTAACAACCTAAAGAAAATAAAATCTTACCCACAATGGTATGTGTGGACTAGGTTTGGTGGTGGCTGAAACTAGTTGCAATAAGGCCAGCTTCAAAAAAATCATTACAAAACACTAAGGTACAGGAAGGCTAGGTTTTTCATCTGAAGCCATGGGGTACTAGTACAATAGTTGCAAGTGCGCCAGCCTCAAAGCTTCAAATTCAGATTTTGACTATGTCAGGTATGATGTCTGGAGCTATGACGAAAGGTACACAGAGCCTTTACCTCTGTAATAGAACCAGGCGTTAACATATTTAAGATGTAAATGTTGTCTTTCAAATTTAAAGGGTTGTTTTTTGTTCATTATTAAGGGTTTTTCTTTCAATTCAGTATTTTTTTTTCTCTTGCCCACCAAACATATTATGTCAGATAAGATAGTATAATTCATACTCCAAGTATCGAAATGCATGCCATCGTGTCGGGATTCAATATTTAATTATGTCATCATTCCTGATGCTGACATAATTAATGTCGAAATATTGAATCCCGACATGATATATCACATGCATGCATTTCAATACTCGGAGCATGCATTATACTGTCAAACATATTATCCTCATAAAAAAAAACCAATTACTATGCTTTGAGCAGCTCACAATAGACCAGGATATAAACAGTTTACTGATGTCGGTCAAAGTCATTTATTTATAACATGTGAATTTCTTCATTAAACTTAAATTTACTGAATATTTGACAATTGGGAAGTGGTTTTTATTCAATATTGTGCTGGATAGTAACAGCGTTGTACTGAATTATTATCTTTTGAAACTCAGGCAAGAGTGCCTAACATTTATCATTAAAATTAACTAAAACATTGAAAAAGGATTTAAAAAAATAAACCTACATAAATGCAACCCAGAAACCTAAGGTTTTCAAGTTAAAACTCTATTTGTTAGCCCTCATGTTCAACAGTTAATGAAATATTAAACTCTTAAGAATAATTGTTCAATTACATTGTTCATGTCACAAAGGTTTATTATAGTGTCATGTTCATATTAAGGGCAAAAAATAGATGGAATGAATGCTATGCATCAGATATCCCTTCAACTCAAACTAATATAGCTTGTGGACTTAGATAATCAAATGTTTTATTAATAAAAATGAGAATTTCATTTATATTTGACTGAAAATAATATCACAAACACCACATTTAAAGCTATGATCAATATATTGATTAGATTAAACAAAAGAAGGCAGTATTAAATAGAAAAATGTTAATTCCAGTCACACCATTACTTGAGCCATAACACTAATGTAATGTTTTATTAAATTTAATCAGTTTTATGTCTGGATATCATAATTCACACAAGAATGGGTGGGGAGGGGGAGGTGGTAAATAGATAAATGGTCATTATCCTATTAAAAAAAAGAAAAAAAAAAACTTTAATTTATTATTCTTATATTTCAATTTTGCTTTGGTTAAAAATTATTAATCCATATCTTTTAATAAGACTTAAATTTAAGTGCTGAAATTTAATGTGTACACATATTTGTCATCTGAATTTGCTATGCAACAGCTAAACATACATAATTTACTATTGTTTGTGAGCACAATTAAACTGTTAATGGTGCAGTGCTCTTGTGATAAAAAGATTACTTTCCTGGAAACGTTTAACGACTAGGTATAGTACAAAGTTCATATACATTACTATTATTATGTTTTTATCATTTATAAACAGTTGAGTATGTTACCCTGTCATTTATTCTGTCTAATTATAATTTGTGTCAAAAATATCTAGATAAAATTTATACTTTAGAGTTAATTAACTTTTATGTTTTTTTTTTAGTCACCAGGTTTTTGTACTGATATGATTGTTTGATTTTAATCTGAAGCTTCTATTTAGGTAAAATTGTGATTTTATTTCTAGTCATGATAAATGGATATTGCTAATTATCAACTAGAAAAATGTATTCCAATGAAAGTATACATTGTATGTATGTGTGTCAAGATATATTAGCAATGTTTTGGTGTGTGTTTGTGTAGGGAAGGGTTCTGTCGTGTGTATGGGGCAGGAGATGGGGGATGAGGTTAAAAGTAGATATGATACAATACAAGTATTGGTTTCATTTTTTTAAAATTTGTTTGGTTTGAACAATATTAACCTTTGACCTATTAACTAGTTTAATTTACATATAGGCTTTACTTGTAGTGATAGTGGGAAATCCCTGGGGTGGGGGGAGTTGATAAGAGAGGTGCTGATGTTGAATCCGGGGGTTTTTGTGGTGGGCCTAGGTACTGAATGTGCGATTAGAGATTTTGCATCACACGTGTTAAACCTGCATAAGAATTGAAATGATTTCTTTTTACTTTTTAGAAGTCTTCGATTTATGTTTGTCTTTTTTTATAGCGTTAAACAATGATATATAACAAAGAAAACTGTTGTGGGAATCATTCTCAAACCACATCCATCTGATGTGATAAATTATGCTGCAGAACTAAATTAAAATATTGTTTATATTATTAATGGGGCCTAATTTTTTGGAATATTATGGCTATAATTTGGTCAGTTGATTTATGAATTCAACATGTTAACATTATATACTCTCAGTTAAGCTGTTCAACTTGCTTAACTGAAAATAGAAACCATATATATATATTGGCAAATGCAATAATATAAAATAATATTGTATACGAACATATTAAGCTGATAGATTGTTGATGGTTTTTCCACAGTTATAGATTTACCCATTGATGTTCAAAAGATATTTATATACAAAAAAGTAACATTTTCTGTTGAAAAAGAATAAAGCATAAATTGGTAAAAGAACACTTTTATTGATTTTGATTGATTGGTTAGTTGGTTGATTAGTTGATTAACTGGCTGGTTTACTGATTGACTCATTACATGCATTTTTTAAGATTTGCCAGCCCTAAACTTTTTTTAATGAAAAAATGGAGGGAAAAAAAGTAAATTGTATTCAAGTTTAAGTATGAGAGTGCCATTTTCGGCCATGTAGAGGAGCCATAATCATAAAATTGCTATACTTGGCCCCAACCATGGTGGGGCTGAGCATGGAGGTATTATGTCAACTATAATTTTTCACTATAATAACTTTATGTGTGCTAAGCAAGAATGGCCACTGAACATTATATTCTGCCGAGGATAGGCCTATTGGCGCTTTATAAATCCCGATTAATTTAGGCCTTACTTAGAAATTCGGAGTAACAGATAACCAACAAAATAGAAGGTCTCCAGTTTATTAACGGTGAACACCCATGTGCGAATCAGAAAATCTACAGAATAGAAACGTTCAAAGAATACAATTTAACATAATCTTCTGAAGGCATTTAAGATATTCTGTTTCTGTTGGACAATTTGTGAATCGACAAAAACGCCATGTATCTACATGTTCGCCAACGCTAGCATAAAATAGAACAGGCCTAGCATGATTGATTAAGTCAGATTATAAGCGATGATGGTGTGTTTCGATATTGTTGGTTATTTTAAAGACTTATTTATTGCAGATAAAATTAAGACATTTCTTCATTAATGATGTGGGAAAATATTAATGCATGCGTCGTGCAACCACGCTCCACCCTCGAATTATTTATAACGGATGCTTGTGGGCATCTCTTTTGTGATTTTGTTAACCCCACACCTACGATTATTTTTAACAATTGCTATATCAACCATTTAACAATTATCAACCTCCACCAGTAAGTTAATACTGAAATTACTCTTAGCAGTCCCCGTATTGATTGGGGCAGCTATCACGGTTTGTTCACTGTATACCGTAAAACCTCGAATTGAAGCCCTAGGCTTCTTTGGTTTTTTGTTGTTTTTTTTTCTTTTCTTTCTTTCTTTTTTGGTTTTTTGTTTGTTTGTTTGTTTGGGTTTTTTTTTTGTTTTTTTTTGCAAACTTCGGATGGGCTTCTTTTCGAGGTTACTTTTTCAAAGTAAGGAGGAGTTGGGGCTTCTTTTCAAAATGAATGCTGTAAATTTTGTGAATTTGTATTATAAAACAATAAATAAGGCCTCTGTAACATATCAATCTGTATCATGAAGTGGATGGCATTATAAATCACCTACTCAGTGTATAAACCAAGCTTGTTTTTAATTTATTTTGCTTTCTGAAATTCATGTAAGTTAAATGTTTGTATTGTACTATCTCGAAAAGAAGCGTATGATAACTTGAAAAGAAGCCCATGGGCTTCTTTTCGAGATGGGCTTCTTTCGAGAATCATTTTGCAAACTGAGTTAGGGGTGGGGGGCTGCAATTCGAGATGGGCTGCATCTTGAGATTAAGCCCACTGGGCTTCAATTCGGGGTTTTACGGTATCGAAAGACGCAAAATCGATGGCATGCATAAGTAGGCCCCTATTTGTCTGTTTTAATAGGCACCA